TAATTAAGGACTAAGTTCGTATCAATGCACCTTTGTAAGATTTTGGTGAGATTTTGCAAACATTCATTAAAAGAGTTTCCATAAACAGTAAAATCGTCCATGAAAACCTCTATGATATTTTCGACATATTCTGAAAATATGCTCACCATACATCTTTGGAAGGTTGCGGGTGCATTGCACAAACCAAAGGGCATGCGTCTATACGCAAAGGTGCCGAAGAGACATGTGAATGTAGTTTTCTCTTGGTCTTCCGGGGCAACCGGAATTTGATGAAAACCAAAGAAACCATCAAGGCAGCAGTAATGGGATTTCTCGGCCAATCGTTCTAACATCTGATCAATGAATGGCAAAGGGAAGTGGTCTTTGCGGGTGGAAGCATTCAGCTTTCTATAATCGATACAAACTCTCCACCCGTTTTGCACACGGGTGGGTACCAATTCCCCTTCGGAGTTTTTGACCAAGGTAACTCCAGCTTTTTTCGGGACTACTTGCACAGGACTCACCCACTTACTATCAGAAATAGGATAGATTACACCTGCATCCAAGAGCTTCATGATCTCCTTTTTGACCGCCTCCATCATAGGTGGATTCAACCTCCTCTGTGCTTCACGGGTTGGCTTGAAGTCCTCTTCCATCAGTGTTTTGTGCATGCATAATGATGGGCTCAACCCTTTTATATCCGCAATAGTCCAACCAATAGCCTCCTTGTATTTCTTCAAAATTCCAACTAAATCTTTTTCTTCTTCTCGTGCCAGCTTAGTCGAAATTATCACCGGTAGTGTCTCTTCCTCTCCAAGATAGGCATACTTGAGATGGTCGGGAAGAGCCTTCAACTCAAGAGTCGGTGGCTGTACTATGGATGGGAGAAGTTTCGGATTAGAACTTTTTAGCTTCATGCGGGGTGGTTCAACTCTCATGGGTTGTGCTTTCTCCAAGGAATCAATTACTTCGATCAATTCGTCTTCCAATGTGTACTTGTCAGCCAACTCTTTAATCCCTGTCTCATCAAAGTGTTTGCTCAAGATGGTGGTTAGCACATCTTGGCTTGACATCTCAAAGCAATCATTAGTACATGAATCAATAACATCTATGAAGTTTAAAGAATGAATATCGCTAGGATAACGCATAGCTTCAAAGATATTAAAGTTAATTACCTCACCATCGAATTCCATTGACAAAGTACCATTGGCTACATCTATTTTTGTTTTTGCGGTACTCATAAAGGGTCTCCCCAAAAGGATGGAGCTCGATTGTGCAGTGTTTTCATCACCCATGTCTAAAACATAAAAATCATCAGGAAAAACGAGCTCATTAACTTGCACTAACACGTCCTCCAATACACCTTTCGAATGTACCAAAGACCGATCAGCAAGTTGAATGATAACTCCGGTTTTTGATAAATGTCCAATTCCCATTGTCTTATAACTTGAATAAGGTAAAACATTAATTGATGCTCCAAGATCAAGCATGGCACGTGGTACAAAAAGGTTACCCATTTTGCAAGGAACCGTGAAAACACCCGGATCCTTGCATTTTTTCGGTAGCCGCTTTTGTAACACGGCTGAGACATTTTCACCAACCTTCACGGTTTGATTTCCTTTAAGCTTTTTCTTAGATGTGCAAAGTTCCTTAAGGAACTTTGCATATCTAGGAATATGTGTAATGGCATCTAGAAGAGGGATATTGATTTCAACCTTTCGAAACATGGCCATGATTTCGTCATCTTCCCTTTCTCTTTTGGTGCTTGCCAGCCTTGAAGGAAATGGAGCTGGTGTGACTTTCACTTCAGATTTTATTAGCTTCTTGGACTTTGGATTACTCTTCTTTTCCTCTTCTTTGATAGCCTCTTCCACCTCAATCTCCTTCTCTTCTTCTTCTTCTTCTTCTTTCGGCATCTTTGGATTTTCATAGCTTTTCCCACCTCTTAATGTAAATGCACACGCATTGTGTTTTGGGTTCTTCTCCGTTTGAGAGGGTAGCTTGCCTTGCGACTCCATCTTACTCACGGATTGAGAAAGTTGTGATACTTGTTGCTCCAAGCTTTTTATGCTCGCCTTGGTTTCTTGTTGAAAGCTTTGAGTACTTGTGGCAAGGCTTTTTACTATGTCTTCTAAGGACATATTTGAAGAACTCGCTTGGGGAGGGGGTTATTGTGGATGCCTTGGTTGAAAATTTTGAGGTTGGAATGGTGGTCGTGGTTGATTTTGAGGAAATGGTGGTCTTGGTTGATATTGATGCGATTGATTGTGCTGATAGTTCCCTTGTTGATTGCCTCCCCACCCTTGACTAGTGTTCCATCGCTAATCACCTCTTGGTTGCTCATAACCTCTTTGATTTGCCCCCGAATAGCCTCCCATGACTTTCGCTTCTTCATAATCTTCCTCTTGGAGTTGTGGGCACATATCAGTTGGATACCCCACTTGGGTGCAAATAACGCATGGGCGGGGTGTGGACTGGACACCTTTGTCTTTGGCCAACATCATGACTACTTTCGTGAGCTCGAACAATTGAGCTTCAATCTGAGGAGTTTGTACTTCTTTTACACCCCGGGGTGCATCCGTGTACCATTCTTCATCATGGCTTGAATGTTTGGAATCTTCAACCATGTTCTTGATTAGATTTCGGATCTCAGTTGGGGTTGTATCGGGCAAAGATCCACCACTAGAGGCGTTAAGAAGCCTTCTTTCCATTGGAGTCATTCCTTCAATGAAATATTGAAGGAGCTGGTACTCAGTGATCCCGTGCTTTGGACAACGAGCACAAAGTTTCTTGAATCTTTCCCAATATGTGTGAAAGCTTCTCTTTTGTGTTGCTTGATTCCGATAATTTCCCGTCGTAGGGCTGAAGCTTTCATTTCGGGAAAATATTTGTCCAAAAACAATCTCGCAAGATCTACCCAAGTAGTTACCGTCCCCGGTGGAAGGTCATAAAGCCAATCTTTGGCCGCGTCTTGCACCGCAAAGGGGAATGCCCTAAGCTTGATTTGGTCCTCCGTGACATTGTGTGGTTTCATACCCACACATACTACATGGAACTCAGTGAGGAACTTGTGAGGATCTTCGTTCTCCAATCCTCTAAAAGTTGGGAGTAAATGGATAAGCCCGGATTTTAGTTCCAAGTTGGTGGCGGCTGGGTATTTGATGCAAAGAGGTTGTTGAGTCACCTCTTGTCTTGACCATTGACGAAGAGTTTGTTTGGGTGGTGGGTTTGGAGGACCTTGATTCCCTCCGGGGTTATGTGCCATGGCTTGAGAATTGGTTGTGGTTTTTGAAGATGAACTGTTTAGGATATTATTAATAGGTGAAGAGGGTGGAGTGGTTTTTATGGGCGAGGTTGTTTGTGGTGAGAGTGATGGGCTTTCTGTTTCTGATGCGGATACACTTGAGAGGGGTATGTCCTCCCAAATGTTGATGACCGGGGGATTGGTTGATGAAGAAGTACCGGAAACTGGTTGCCTCTTACGAAGCTTGGCTTGCTTCCTTAACTTCTTTGTAGTCTTCTCTATCTCCGAATCAATTGGCAATGGCGTACCTATACGAAAAGATCTAGGCATAAACAATTAGTAACACCGTGTCCCCGACAACGGCGCCAATTTGTTAGGCGTGTCAAACCCAACAAATAAAGGGGTACGATATAGTCCAAAATAATCCCACTATATTGCACTAAAAGGTAGTACAAGGCAAGCAGGGTCGATCCACAGAGACACAGGACAATTGGTCTATACCTATTTGCACAAGGTACTATGGTCACCAATAGTAAAAAGAGGGAGGGTTTAGAATGTAATGATTAAACAAATAATTAAAAACATAAGCAATCAATTAAGTGCGTGAGTTAAATTCAGAATTTGTGAGGACTCCAACCCCATGTATGACAATTTAGCAATGTGACTCCAAGATGACACAATATTCGTTCAATTCTGTATAAGTTGGTACTTGAAAGTGCTAATAAGCTCTAACACTTCCCATTCACCATATTAATTAACCAAAACAAGCTCTTTGATTAACCCTAACCTAATCTAAACAAACTCTTAGGATTAGATTATAAGATTGCATGAAGCTTTATGTGAATGTTCCCAACAACACCCAATACCCCTCATAAGCTCGGGAGTGTAAAAGTGTATGAATAAGATTTACACCAAATTCATTCAATAGAGATTAATTTAATGCTTGTTACTTGTTCAATTTCACAAAACAATTACGGATTTTGTAAAAGAGATAACTTGAATGACCTAACCCTAATTCAAATGGCCAATAAGAATCATAATTAGGATCAAACATTCGATTGAAGCAAAATCAAATTCATTAAATAGAAATTAAGAACAAATATCATGTCATATGAATGAAGTCACTACCAAGAAGTCAAAACATGAAATTGGAGAAATTAGGGTTCTAGCCACACATGGCTAGAACAAGATCACAAGTCTAAAAGATGAAATTAAGTGTAATTACAACTTACAAAAACAAGAATTAATGTTTCCAAATGGTTAACGGACAAACCCTTGCAAAAAGCTTCGAATTCCCTTCTCCAATGGTGCTCTGGTATGTTCTTCTTATGTCCAAATAACCCTCAACCCGTAATATGAAAGATAGGAAAAACTGCCAAAAGTTGGTTTTTTTTTGGGTCGAACACGGCCCGTGTTAAAATAGGCTAAACTGATACGGGTCATGTTCAGCAACACGCCCCGTGTTTATTTGCACTAAACTGACACAGGTCGTGTTCAGTATGGTCAACAGCTCCCATTTTGGTCAAACACGCCCCGTGCCCACTTTTCAGTGTAAATTCAACACGCCCCGTGTACCTCTCTGACTCCAAATCCAAACTTGATTTTTCCAACTTTTTCGTTCTTCGCCCGATCGTCCCGAAATCTCCACCAATGCTTCCCGACACTTCCCAAAGCGCGTTCCAACCTCCAGTTTACCTGAAAAAGATATAAAAGTGTGCAAATAAGGTTGTTCTAGAGACTAAAATGAATATGGTAAAATGCAAGGAAAAGGAAGAACAATTGTGCTAATTATATGCATAAAATGGGACTGAAAGGTGTGCAAAAAGGTGCACAAGTAGCACCTAACAATATCTCATATTTCAGAGTATTAACAGTCCATTCACAATTTAATACATACATAAATTATCTCATATTTCAGAAGCAAACATTAAAAGAAAAACATATACATGAATCATAAAAAATATAACTTATCTGAATCAGCGAAGAAGATGAGTGATAAATAGAACATATCTTTACTCAACCATCACCACCAACATTAACATCTCCAACTACCATACGCTGCTATCAACCATCACCACCAGCAACCATTGGTACCAACACGCCCTAAAAAATCAAATATGGATAAAAAAAATTAGAATTCACTATTTAAGTCAATATTTCATACACTAATAATTCATAGTTTAATTCAAGATTTCAGATACTAATTCATAATTTAGTGCATAAAAAATCATATTCACAAATTAATAACTTATATATTCATAACTTAATACATAAAAACACATATTCACAACTTAATAACTTACTGAATTTCGTTGAGGCATTTCATCAAACACTTTGTGTGCACAACATACATCAGATCCATAAGCACCATAAACACATCAGATTTGACCAAATATATCAGAGTCTCATCATCTTCAACGTCAAGCGATGTTATTTGGTTCTTCGGTGATGTTTGACGGTAAGAACAGATCCAAATCATGAGAGAAAAACAGCAAACATTTTTTATGTTATCTGAAATGAAGAACACAAAATCAGGTGTGTGACTTGAAGAACACGAAAGCATATCTTTCAATCTCTCCAGAGCTCGCGGATTTGGATGTTACTGGTGGCTGAAATCATAGATCTGGACCGAACTCATAGATCTGAAGCGAAAAACATTAGCTACTCGGCATTCTGACGATGGAAGGCGGAAGAATATGGCGGCAGTAGGTGGCAGGAATCATAGATCTGGACCAAAACTCATAGATATGGATGTTGTTGGTGGCGGAAATCAGAAATCTGAACTTGAACTTACACATATAGATGATAGATCTGGTGGTTGACAAAGAAAAACGTCGATCTGGTGGTCACAATTCCAGTAGATCAGTGGAGTTTTTACTCCAGATATGAGATTAGTGGAGTTTAAAGGTAGATCTGAAGCGAAAAACATTGGTTACTCATGATTCCGACATCGGAAAGCATCTGATGACGGCGGCGGTAAGCAGCGACGTTAGGCAGCAGGTGGCAGTGTTGGTTTTGGGTTTTGTGTTCTTGAGAGAGTTTGAGAGGTTTTAGGAAAGTTTTTTGTAAAAAATGTTTGAAAGTGTTAGAAATATTGTTGGATAGTAGACAAAAAGAAACTAAAATTAAATGGTTCTTAGGGTTCTTAACTTTTGGGGGTTCTCATTTGAACGTTTATATATATATATATATATATATATATATATATATATATATATATATATATATATATATATATATATATATATATATATATATATATATATATATAGGTTCAGGTTCATTTGAGACCATTCTAATTTTGTGAGACCGTGAGACCAAATCTAAAAATAATTTTAAAATGCAAAATAAATGGAAAAATCCAAAAATTGTTTTTTTAAGTATTATTTTCGGAACTTGAATTAACTAAAAAAAATAAAAAATAAATAACAAAAAATTCTATTTTTTTTGAAAAATACGTGAAATATTCTAAATAGAATATTACACTGTACATATTCTAAAAATAATTTTAAAATGCAAAATAAATGGAAAAATCAAAAAATTCTTTTTTTAAATATTATTTTCGGAACATGAATTAACTAAAAAAAATAAAAATAAATAAAAAAATGCGTCTCACGATCTCACAAAATATAGGTGGTCTCAAATGAACCTAACCCTATATATATATATATATATATATATATATATATATATATATATATATATATATATATATATATATATATATATATAAAAGATCGATGAAGACTCATTTTAAAGTGACGACTCATAAGGACACCTTTAAAAAATTGAAAAAAAAATACAAATCATAAAATCGAGCATAGATCTATGTCATTGAGTAAAAATTTGAAAAAAAAAATTGGAACATTAAAATTGAATCATGGATCAATTTTAATGATGTAAAATATATATATATATATATATATATATATATATATATATATATATATCAATGTTTTTTTCTCCCGGACATAGATCCGTACTCGATTTTATTATTTGTATTTTTTTTTCAATTTTTTTAAGGTGTCCTCGATTTTATGATTTGAGGCCATGTTAATTTTTTTGGGATATAGACGCGATCCTAATCACCCATCTTAGAAATCAAAAAATTCTAAAATGCAAAATAAAAGGAAAAATCTGATTTTTTTTTAAATACTATTTTCGTTATTTAATTTATCCAAAATAAATAAAAAAAAATTAAATAAATAAAAAAAGATAAATAACATTGCAGTTTTTTTCGAAATATACGTGAAATATTCTAATAGAATATTACATTGTAAATACTCAAATCGAATTTTTTGAATGTTGGAATATTCTAATATTCTACTAAAATTGGTAAATATGTTAAAATATACTAATATTCTACTATAATTATTAGGAAATCTATAGAAACGTCTCAAAGTTTTGGGTCGGTTTATGATCTAGTCTTAAACTAAATTTTATTAATGAAAAAGGATAATAAACCGGCTATTATAATCATTTTAACCATATTTTACCTTTTCAGCAGGTAACCTGCTGAGGTGGCATGTCACATGAATTGATGGGTTGAAATGGTAGTTGATGTGGTATTTATACTCTTTTTTATTTTAAATGCTTTTATTATTATTATTATTATTATTAACTTACTAGTAAAAAAATTTGAATAATATATGTGGGCCCCATCATCCATATCCCTCACATTCTAAGCACCGCACTGTCACCCTCATCCCTCCCACATATAACTGTAAACCTTGGTGGGAACCTACTGGACCGACACCACACTCGTGTTAGAAAACACTAGACAACCACGAAAGAGATAGACGATATTTTGCACCACCACCGCCCACCCTGAAACAATCGGTGATTTGACAATCTGTTATCGTCGACAGGATCACTGCTCTTACACTTCTAAACCTAAGCCTACCAGAAAATCGATGCAAAAATCACATATGCCCCGAAGATCGTCGGTCTAGTACACTACCACCACCAACCATATTTATGGAGTCCTAAGGAAATGTGATTTGAAGCCATGATCTCGCCAGAAACAAAAATCATTCATCTCTCGCCCTTTTATGCCCTAACCTGTCAGAAAACTCACACACAAAAAATTCACCAGACACTTAAATTTTGATGCATGTTTGATTTTGCATCAACAAACAACCCAATATTTGATTTCTGTACAACAACTTACAATTAAAAAAACATCGAAAACTTTGATTCTGAACTTTAGAGCTTGAAATTTGATTTTGTTTCAGAACCTTGTCTTGTTGGGTGTGTAATCATCGGAAATACAGGGGGTAGAGATTTCCAACATGATTGGAGAAGTGGGACAACAGGTGGAGATGAAGGGTTGTCGACGATGGAGTTCCTGGAAGGATTTAATGGGGATTGGTTTGATGAGGGTAATGCTGGTGGTGAAGGAGGCAATAAGGAAGAATAGAAGGATGAGTGGGACCCACATTTATTAAAGAAATTCAACTAAGAAGTTAATATATTATATATAAACATGAATGAAGAAAATATATAAAATGATTATGATCCAGTTTGTTAAAAGCTTAGTTTTAGAGAGGGAAGTTATGGGTTTGATTCCCTCTCACTCATTTCCCCTTAAAATCTGATTTTTTTTTTTTTTTAATTTAAAAGAAAGGCCATGCCATGTCAGCTATGCCACATCACCCCAACAGTCCATTTGGCGCACACCTCAACAGGTAACTTGCTAAAAAGGTAAAATAGGGTTGAAGTGATTATAATAGTCGATTTCATGTCCTTTTTCATTTTAATTTAGGATTAGTTCATAAATTGACTCAAAACTTTGAAACATTTTCGCAGATTTTCCTTTAATATTCTACTAGAATATTCTAACATTCTAAAAATTCGATTTGAATATTTACAGTATAATATTTTATTAGAATATTTCACGTATATTTGGAAAAAAAACGGTAATTTTATTTATTTATTTATGTTTTTTTTATTTTTTTGGATAATATAAATGACAAAAATAATATTTTTTAAAAAAATCAAAAATTTTCATTTATTTTGCATTTAAAAAAAATTATTTCCAAAATAAATAGCTAGGATTGTGTCTCCATGTGTGACAAAATATGATTGTCCCCATGTCCATGTTGTGATTGGTTGTGAGAGTCGTGAATCATGTTTTCTTCTCTTGTGTTATTGCTTCTCAATTGTGGTGGCGTATTGTGAGTTGGTTGGGTCTTGTTCGTCCTTTTAAAAACTTGGGAGGAGATGTTTGGGTGGATTGATGTTATTCATGTGGTGCCTCTGAAGCGTGGTATTTTATTCCTCGTTTTGTTATACGGTTACGCGAGTGTTTTGGTGTTTTCATAATGTGGGGGTGTTTCAATATAAAAATTACCAAAAGGATATGATTATAGATAGGATTATGATGTACGATTTTAATTGGTTTTGTTTTAGGAACTCGAAGGCTTCTAGAAATTAGATTGCATAGTTAAAAAGAATCCAATGAAGCTTTGAATGTTGTTTTTTCGTTCCTTGCTAGCTTTTTAATTTTATTCATGCTGTTCCAAAAAAATATATGTACAATAGGTCGAATGAATAAGTTGGTTCAACACTTTCTAAAAAGAAACAAACAAAGAAAGATGTTAAACGGTAAATTTTAGTCTCAAGGTTATTCATTTAGTGTTTAATGATTTGAACTTGTTAAAGATTAAAAGAACGTATGGTTTCTTAAACGTTCATATGTAACATTTGAACTGTTTCATTAATAGGTTATTAAATTGTCTGAGTATATTTTAATCTCAATGGTTTCAATTTTGGATAGTTTTTTGTTTAGAAATTATAGTCAATTTTTGGGTATGATGACATAGTCAATCGTTTTAACTGTTTTTGGTTATGATTACATATACAAATTCCATTTGTTCACCCGACATCAACTTACCAATCAAACTGTAAAGTCCAAAAAAGGAGAAAACTAAAAGGAACACGAACCAACAGTGAGTGATGTTCTAAAAAAGAACACCAAACCAACCGTGAGTAGCGTTATAAATCTAGAGAAATTTACGGAATAAGAATTACTATAAATCACAAATTCATTTCAAGTGTTGCACATTCAAAATAAATATAAATTTAAGGTAATACTATCAGAAAAATGATACAAGTATATCACGTAAAGCTAAAAGGTGGAATGAACGGGAAAAAACTCAAATATTTTCTATTGAAAAAACTCACGGTTAATTAAACCAATTTTAAATAAAAAAAAATCAGATCATTAACCTAAAAATTGTTTAAATTCATGAACTTTTCTTTTGAAACTCTCACTTTTCTTTTGAAACACGCGTTATTTGTAACACAAAGATTTGTACAATTTATTCGATATTAGGATTTTTATTTTAAAATAATAATAATAATAATAATTTTAAATAATAATAATAAGATCTTGAATGGTTGCTACTTCCCTAGAAAGTTTTGAAAAAGATTTGCTTTGTTTTTCTTCCCAATTAATAAAAAAATAAAAAGTTAGTATACAAATGATTAACGATTTCACCTCTTTTTTGCTTTTTCTTCTTGCTTTCTCTTTCTCTCTCTTTAATTCTCTCTCTCTCTCCCTCCATACTCTTATCTTTCATGGCTAATTTTACATAAAAAATCACATTTCACTTAATTTTAAGATAGATAGTTTATTGATAAAATCAATATTAAATACAATATGGTATATTGATATGTACTTTGAGCATCTTGAATGGAATGTTTTCTGAAATGTCACATATTTATTAAAAATCAAACCTAAAAGTTGTTTTTTACTATTGAAGTGATTTTTTTATTTATCATTTTTTTATTTTTTTTATTCTACTATTGAGCTTTGTATTTTGTACAATTAACCACCCTTATTCAATAATGTTCCTATTGTACTCCTTTATTGTATTAAAATGCTTCATTAATTTTTTACTATTTTTTTTATTTTACTATAAAATATAAAAATATTAAATTTGTAGTAGTCATGTTGTATTTTTTTTCTTTTATTTATAATTATATGTGTAATAATCCTGTCATCTTTAGTTTAAAAGATATCCATCATTTTGTTATAAATAAATAAATAGCATTTTATGTTTAAAAAAAAAAAAAAAAAAAAAAAAAAAAAAAAAAAAAACTCATCATCTATATGTACCATATCTGGTTATATTACAATGAATTTAGAAAATCCTGTCGTCCAACGGACACAAGCAAAAGTAAAAGGTTATTGATATCAAACACTTCATTCTATTAACGAGTTTAATAAAATATTCATTAACTTACATAAAGCAATACAATAGTGGATGATCCGATGACTACTAGGTAAAGGATTAAGTTAAAAGATGTTGCAAGAAAATTATGTTATTGTACATATATTAAGTAGCTAGTAGCTAGTTGTATGACTTATATATTATATGTGTTAATTTAAAAAGTAAAAATAAAAAATAAATAAATGTAAATGTTAAAATATTTGAGAAGTTTGAATTTATAAAAAAATAAGAAAAATAATTAATTATTATAATGAAAATATTTTTATCTTTTAAATTTAAACAGATAATTTAAATAAATAAATAAAAGTAATGAGCTTTAATTTTGGGAATTTTAAAATTAAAAGATAAATTCATTAATGAAATTGATATCAATGTATTAAGTATATTTATTGCATTAAAATGGAATTTAATAAAATAGAAAAACTCATAAAATGACATGTAGAAAAAAATTTAATTCAAAATAACTATAAAATAACATTTGACAAATTGAATGGCAATATGACAAGTGACAAGTGTACTACACGGGTTTATTAAAATAAAAGTTAAATATCAAAGTCTAAATATTAAAATATCAACAATGTGTTTAACTCAAGATTAATGATATAATCATCATGTCATACTATGAAATATAATTTCTAATATAAAAAATATATATATACTCATACATAGTAATACCAATGCTTTATTTAAAATATTTATAATAAAATAATTTAGTTTGCTAATAACTTCTATTATTTTATTATTCTCAAAAAGATGTTAAAACAAATTTTATTTGGAAAATAAGAAAACAAAAAACAAAAAATCTAAGAAAATATCAAAAAAAAAAAAAAGTATGTTAGTAGCATAATTTTAAATACGTATAAAATATACAAATACACTGTAAAGTTTTTGAAAAAATGAAATATATGTGAATTTGAATGCCAAAGAGCAACATAATTTTAGGCTAATAATATCGAATAAGAAAATAAACGGAAAATTGATTTAAATGACCTTAAATGTAGAAATTGAAATTTGAAAGGAAACTTGTATTCTTAAATCCTCATAAATACATAATTAGGTGGCATTTTTAAATAAAATTGATAAACACATGACATTGGCATGTGGATTTTATTAAATTCAAAAACACAATAAAATATCAAGTGTCATACTTCATGATAACAAAGTGATATGTGCTAAAAAAAAAAAAAACATTTGTTTGTTAGAGAGAATATGAGTATGGATGAACTAACATTAAAGATGGGAACACAAAGGATGTGTATACGGAGAGAAGAAAGAGCAACATTAAAGATTAACCTATTCAGATTCTTTTGTTGTTTCTTACCTTCAAAAAAATAAATAAATAAATAAGGGACAACAACAAATGTTCATAAAGTTATATGGGAATGGTTTGGAGGTAATCATTTATGCGCATATGGTTAATGTGTAAGAAGCCTTTGCCCTTTTGTAAGTGAACCTTTATATGGCGATGTTTTGTTATGAAACAGAATAAAGGTAAAGAATTTGTAATAATTATGTAGGAATAAAGCTTTGATGGATGAATATGTTTTTATTATATTCTATGACTCAAAAAAATTAGTACTCAATCATGAAGTTAAATCACACATTCACATCTGTATGGCCCATTCTACTATTCTAGTACGAAACATACAACATTGTACATACATCACATGTAACATGTTTAACCAGTTAAATTTTGGTTTCATAATTGGGTGAAACACTGTTGCACAAATAAGCATTTCAAGATTCTTCTAAATTTTTTACAAATTGTAAAACCAAAAGGGTTAGAGTTTCCACCACTAAACTAAATCAAGCAAATTGGATACTAGTCAAGTCCAATTGCAGTGGCCTCACTCGTGACAATCTGCCATATCACAAAATGAATTTATATAAAATAATCATAAATGTCACAATAACAAATTTAATCATTTTGTGTTTTTTGTTAGTTGTTAGTTGTGCATTCGACTGATACCTGTGATAAGGAGTCTTTAAAGGTACTGCTAAGTGTGGCATCCAAACCTCTTTCTGCAAGCTCATAAAACAATGTTAACCCTTCGGGGCCATTACTTTTATCCTTCTGCAAATATCTAAAATAAATAAACAGTTACAAAGTAAGAAACTGATTTCCTTTCATAATATAAGTTATTGAGTCCACCTGGCTGAATCTGATTTTATTTTTAAAAAAAATAATACCTTTGTTGGACAAGTGTTTCCACTGTCTGTTTGATATTCCCAAAATCAGTGTGCCTTTCATCATTCTGTGACATACCCAATCGCCCTAAATGGTGCCAAAGACTTTCTACAATTCATAATCAACACAAATTCATATTAATTATATATAATAATCTGAATAAATGACGTTTAAAAAAATATACTTGAGAAAATGACAGCATGCTTGGGGAAATGCAAGTAGAATATACATGAGGGTCAATCTGTAACACTTTTTTCTCCCATTAAGTTTTATATGGATAAAGTGGTTGAATGGGTAATAATGTCTGTTAGAATAAAGTACTGTATACACATAGTCTGATTCTTTTTTTTTATGTGAACAAACCGTTTGAATGAGATAAATGACCAATTCACCCTTCGTTTAAGCAAACATGGAACATAAATCATGATCTGCTTGAAGAAGTTATAATAATACCTTCAGTAATCAATACACAAAGGAATCGAAATGAGCAGTACCCAAAAGACAAAATCATTAAATGATGAGATGATTAAAAAATATGACCATTTTACCCTTACATCCCAAAAGATATTTTTCACAATATTCATCAATTTCAACGTGGGAGAAATTAAAAAGAAGGGCAAAAACGTAAAGATTTAGAGTCTTAATACATTAAGCCAGGTATTTTTGGCTTAACCATCAAGTCATTGTATACCAATTAAGACAAAAAGAAACAGCACCTTATTTTCTTTACTTTCTCTATTAAGTGTTCTTTCTTCATTAAGTCAAAAATAAACACCCATATATAGCTCATTCCATTAATCCAATTAAGTAAAAAAAGAGCACCTAAATGTGTTCTTGAAACATAAATCATGGTCTGATTAAAGAAGTTATAACAATACCTTCAGTAATTTTGCCTCCAGCAAGATGAACAATGCCAATAACAACAAATGCAAATCCAGTCAAGTTTGATTTTGTTGTATCTTCAACATGCTTTTTGTAGACTCCAGGATCTAGTTGACTTGTTATAATGTATGATTTTAGGTCAACAGAACCTGAAAAGTGATGACAAAATTACAAAAATGCCATTATCAATAAACCACAAGTTTGATCGATTTAAGCTGCTTACTCTGTGAAGATCGGGCCTGATTATTTGATGAAGGGCGAGAACGTTGAAGCTCCTTCAAATTATAACCAAAAATGGTTGAAAGTTTTGCAGTGGCTTTGTTGAGGACAAGAGTTGGAAGAGATCTATGGTGATAGTTTTTTGTTATTAGTTGACTCAGTTCATCTCTCTTGATTGGGCATCCAGAATTCTGATGTGTTTTAAAAAGAATATAGCGGATTACTTCTGCAACAACCTTGTCACCTTCCTGGAGTTGAAACATTTGTGATATTCAGAATGGAAAAGATTATTGACTAATGAGCCCTTTTGATTTAAAAAAAGAAGGAAAAAGTATGCATGGATTGTGTTAAATGTTTGAGGGATGAAGTGACCTCTTCAGAAATACCAAAAGTAGAGAAACTTGCTTCTGTGTTTTCCATCCTGAAGCAAAAACATGGTGTATAAAGTTTGTTACAATCCAAAAATCGCATGATTAATTGTTAATAAACAAAGAATGTTTCATATTTTTCCCTAACAAAGTGTTTTTTTACTAACTATGCAATTAGGTTTCATCTTAATACCAAAAGATGTAATAAGTGTCTGATGCACAAATTAGTAGAAAATGAAACATTGTTTCATATATTGGTAAAAGAACAAATTTTTTTTTTTGCAAAAATAAACATTTAACCAGTGCCACATGATCCTTGCAATGTTGCAGATATTGATGTGCACTTTGTCTAAAAAGCACTTTGTTGCATAAATTGGGAAAAGGTTGTTGAAAAAATGTTCAAATGGTCATTTAACCTTTTTTTATGCTGCAGCAATCTCTAAAGGGTGTTTGAATGTGCATCTAAAGTGATTACTGTGTTAGAATGTGCATCTAAAGTGACTACTCTCACTTTCACTTTTGAGTGCTCCAACAAAATCTGATTTTGATTCCCATTTTTCAATCATTTAGACAGGGAGTTGTCATGGTATAACTTCAAATTGCCCTCTGGAATCATCTCTCCTCTGTCTTCCCTAATCATTCATATTTCCTCATATGCCATCTTCCATCTTACACTTGAGACCTATTATTCTACTTCACATTTTGTTTTGGAAAAACAGTCACATTTCAAGTAAAAACCCTAACTACAAACCATTAACCAGTTCATCGATTCATCAACCAGCTAATTCTTATACAAAGATCGTTACGAACTAACATTACAAAGAAATTAAATTTCAGAATCCGTAGCAAAGATGGAATAAGTTGCAAAACACCACAAATTAACATGAAAATAGTTGAACTAAGGTAAAAAAAAAAAAAAAAAAAAAAAAAAAAAAACACTCATCAGAGCCTCATTCCTTTTATAGATCATGCACATAAGCTTCAATTTGAGAACTACACTACAATGGTCGAGATCCACACAATTCATATGAAGTCTTATAGTGGTAAACTACTATATTTTTTACCTACATCACCAGTGTGAAAACATGATCAGGAAGCATATCATTTGTGAGATGGGAGCGTACCTGTTGTGAAGAAGAGGAGCGACCGCACAGAGGCGATAACAGCACCGTCGAGGTGCAAGTGTGCGGTGAAGAAGAGGAGCGACGGCGGTGGAGGTCGAGACCGGGGTGGGTTTGGCCGGCGGTAGAAAGCAGCACAGGAGGAGAGGAGGGTTGGGGATATTCTTTGGAACGACGAAGATGGAGGGAACACGACGTACAGATTTGGGGAAAGGGATGGGTAGTAATTTCACTCTATTTACAATAGGGCCATTGATCAAATTTTACCTTTCTTGTTTATAATTTATATAACATTGTCTATAATATAGACAACATGATGCAACTACAAATTTCACTAAATTTATAGTTTGACTATATTTGCACTGTATTTATATAGTTGAATACATATTTAGTAAAAAGTACATTATTTTTCACAAATTTTTACAAGTTATTCGTTGTTGATTACTATCTTACATATTTAATGAAAAATTGATATCTCTTTTTTCCTAATTCTAGTTAGTTATTTGTACCATTTTTATACGGAAATACTATGCATATTCAATGAAAATTAGACAATATTTTTCATAATTTCTGACTAATTATTCAAACTACATTTATATATTTAATAGTATCATGTATATTTAGTGAAAAAATCAACAATCACTTCACTAATTCTGATTAGTTATTTGTACCATTTTTATACAGTTAAAGATCTACATATATAATTAGTGAAAATATGAGAAAATTTTATTTATGATGCTAACTAGTTATTCACGCTATATTTATATAGTTAATAGTATCATCAATCATGCATAATTTGTGACAAATCAACAAACTTTTTCACAATTATGGGGTGTTCAAGATTGCTTATATAGCTAAATAAGCACTTTTTTGACAAAAGTATTTATTAGCAAGTGGTGCCAAAAAAGGGTTTGTTAAAAAGTATTTGGATTGGTTTGTGTGTAATAAAAAAGCTATAAGTTGATAAATTATTTTTAAAAAGTATTCATATTATCTTATATATGTAAAATAATCAAAAATGACATTCTTACATAATATTTTTATATAGTTCATGAAGTAGGTAAGTTTATTTAAGACGTGGTCACGATAATGGTAGGTTTAAAAGATAGCATTGTCTTTTTAAATTAATAACTTATAAGTTTTTTCAAAAAGTTAGAAAAGTCTTAAGGTGTATTTGGTTGTGAAATGTTGTTTTTTTTTTCAAGAAAATATTTTCAGAAAAATAAAGTTGAGTTTTTATTTTTAGTTTTCAATGAAAAATCTTAGAATACACGTTTGGTTGAAACCGATGAAGTTTTTATTTTCCATCTTAAAAATTTTGAAAATTTTGAAAAACTGTAAAATTTACTTTCTTAATTTACTTACAATTTGGAAAAATATAAAATTTTGCATTTTCTTAGAAAATTTTTGAAAAATGAATTTCAAAATTTTCATTTTAATTTGAAATTTTTCATAAAAAACTAAAAAAATTCCCGCATATCTTAAATTTTTAAAAATGGCTTTTTGAATGATTTTTCAAATAAATTAAAAAGCTACTTTTAAAAGTGCTTATTTGCTAGCCAACTATTTTTTAGACCGATCTTTTTGAAAAGTCAACAAATCCTTTGAAAATCCAAAACACCTTCTATGACTAGTTATCCGTGTTATTTTTATACACTTAATGATTATCAATGCATGTTTAGTAGAACTTCGACAACATTTTTTTAAAGTTCTAACTACCCGCGCTATATTTACATAGTTAATACTATCATCCATATTTACTATTTAGTGAAACTTGACAGCCTTTTTCACGATTCACACTATATTTATAATTAAATACTACCATGCATATTTAGTGAAAAAATGATTGTAGTCGGTAAAAAAATTACAATTCTATTTCACAATCATAACAGTTGGCATGGCTCTTTCATAGCCTGTGGCAAATCATTCCTTCACAAAAAAAATATATTATTCTGAATGTGGGAAAGTGGTGGACCTAAGTTTTAGGTCAATCAATCTAAGTAACAAGGTTTAGTAAAAACTTGTATATTCTATGAGGGATTTATTTGGTTGTTACAAAATTACTGACCAACTTTGGGTCTCAACAAATAACAAGCTCTTAGTACAAATGTATCCTAGAAATTTCTTTAAAAAAATAATAATAAAATATATTTCCCATGAGATTAGACTATTCAGCCTTGGGTTTATGGGCGTTGATCAATTGTGTTTGCACATCTGCAGAAACTGGTGAGTGTTCTTTGTATTCCATGGTGAATTCACCCTTTCCCTGCATAAATATATATATATTTTAAATATCTAACAAACTAGTTGCAAATCAGTGAGTATACATCTACTCAATATGGGTCATTTACTTTTTTAACTATAAATTTATTTGGTAAAATAAATAAGTAGGGAGGTTGCTATTATGAGTAAAGAAACTGACCTGTGTCATGGAACGAAGAGCTGTTGAGTATCCAAACATATTGTTCAGTGGGACCTGTAACCCAAAATATAAACCTCACAATAAGTAAAATATATAAATATATTAATTTTTTTTTAAGTGTTAATGACTGAGGTGTAAGGTTTTTTTGATAAATGGTATGATTTACTTACAAGGGCATTGATAACAGAATCATCTCCATCTTGGTCATTTCCAACAATTATGCCTTTTCTCCTGTAGTTATAAATAAATATGGTTAAAACAGATAAATGACAAAAATTACAGCAGTAAATTTACCTGTTCAAGTCACCAGCAACAGTGCCCTGAAATTCAGTTGGCACTTTCAATTCTACCAACATCACAGGCTCCAGTATCACTGGCTTGCATTTTGCATAACACTGTTTGTTTCACATTAACTCACAATTAGATTACCTTTTTTTCTTTCTACTCATTTATGAATATATATTGAAGCTACCTGTCTAAAAGCATAAATTGAAGCTAATCTGAAAGCAAGTTCACTGGAATCCACAGCATGAGAAGCACCATCCGTCATAACCACACGAATATTTTCAACTGGGAATCCAATCAAAGAACCCCTGCACATATACAATTAAAACAAGTTAAGACTTTTTTATAATAAATATAAAATTAAAAAAAACAAACACAAAAAAGTATAGCACTTACGAATTGGCAGCTTCCCTGAAACCCTTCTCAATGTGTGGGATGAAGTTGGAGGGTATAGCTTGTCCTATTATCATGTTCTCAAATTCAAATTTCCTCTCTGATCCAGCTGGCAGTGGCTCCATATACCTATCATTTTATTTTACCCAAACAAAAATTTAAGAAAAAGCATACCAATAGATTATTGAATTTAGACATTTGGTGAGTCTTACCCAACCACCCTTCCATATTGACCTTGGCCTCCACTTTGCTTCTTATGTAAATAATCAAATTCTGCACGTTGTGTAATTGTCTCTCTGAAGTTCACACGAGGCTTTCCAACAGTTGCATCAACCTTTTGCAACATGTAAGTAAATTAGATAAAATAAATAAATAATAACTGTTGATTTGTTTCAAAGAAAGTTATTTTTTTTAAAATAACGGTGTACCTTATATTCCCTCTTAATGCGTTCCACATAAACCTCCAAATGCAACTCTCCCATTCCCGATATAATTGTCTGAAGTCGACACAATATTTAGTTTCAATAACTAAATACTTTTATGATGAATAAATATATTTAATATTAAATACCTGACCACTCTCAGGGTCCAATCCAACACGGAATGTGGGGTCCTCTCTTTGGAAACGATTCAAAGCTTTTGAGAACTGAATATTTTTTTATAACAAATAAACATTATTAGTTTCAAGAAATGTTAAAAAAAATATATATATTTAATATTTGGAAATCATACTTGTTTTCCGGAATCTTTTGAAACTGGTGAAACAGCTAATGACACAACAGGTTCCGGAACATTCATGGAAGTCATGGTGTATTTGACTGATCCGTCTGTGAAAGTATCTCCTGATGCACAATCTAAACCAAATACTGCTACAATTTGACCTGCATGAGCTTCTTGAATGTCCTGAATGGTAATTTCCATAATTAAACATTAAAAAATAATAGTCATAATTATTTATTCATGTATCGAAAGTAAAAAAAGATTTAATGGAAATTAGTACCTCCATAGAATCTGAATGCATCCGGCCTAGTTTCGATACCTGTCACAAAAATTTAACATAATAAACAAATAAATAAAAGTACGTTGCTATTTTGTTGCATTTAACACATTCTATATCAAAATTCAAAAACATCTATCTACAACTCACTTTAATTTTCTTTCCAGTATTAATGTTTGTTATGAATTCGCCTTTCCTGAGAATACCTTCATAGATTCTACAAATTGAAAAAAAAAAAAAAAAAAAAAAAAACATCACTTATATACTTATTTCAAAACAAATGGACATAAAAAATTCAGATGAAAATACCTTAAGTATGTCAATTGACCGAATTGTCGTTCTTCCAGTTTAAAAGCCAATGCAACCATTGGTCCAGCTGGCGTTCCAGACAGCTTGACCTGTCAGCATCCCAACCATGAATTGTTACATCATATAATAGCCATTGGAATATAAACACAAAAACTCGTTTTATAAAATTGGTTACCTTTTCTTCCTTGTTAGATTGGTCAAGGGCAAAATTGTCAACTTCAAGTGGATTAGGCAAATAACAAAGAACGCCATCAAGAAGCGGTTGTACCCCCTAAAGAGAAATAAAACCAAAAAAAAAAATGTTTAAATTTAAAGAATAAAAAGTATTCCTATCATCTCAAAGAAAAGTACAAAGTGATGTTACTTACCTTATTCTTAAAAGCACTACCCATAAATACTGGTATAAATTTCCGTGCTATAGTTGCTCTACGAATAGCTGCCTGTTTCAAATTACATTTTATACCCCAGAAACTTTGTATAAATTACATTTTATACCCAAATTGCTAAAATAATATACCTCAAGATCAGCAGCTGATATAGGTTCATCATTGAGGAAAACTTCAGCAAGCTGATCATCAACATCAGAGACTGCTTCAATTAACTCGCGTCTCTTTTCTGCAGCCATTGCTTGCATATCAGCTGGAATTTCTTCTGTTACAACTTTTTCACTGACAAAAGAATATAAAAGTCAATATCTTGTTATTTAAAAAAATATATATATAGAAGTTAATCTTGTGAAATAAATACAAACCCGCTAGAGCCATGAAAGAAATAAGCCTTTAGTTGCACAAGATCCACAAGACCCTGAAAGTCCTCTTCCAATCCTATTGGCATTTGCACTGCAGCA